ACTTTTACCGACGGCCTAACTGACCGGACCACACCTCGCGGATGGCCCGGACTCCAGCAGGAAAACGGCGCTCACCTGACCAATGGTCGCTCGCCGCGGACGCGGCACAATCAAACACCGACTCGTGAAGTCCTCCCCAAAGTCAGATTCGTCGAAACAGCCATCGTCCTCAGGCTCCGACGGCTCATAGAAGCTGGCGCTGGCGTCAGGCATGAGCTTATCGCCCCCCAGCTGCTGCACCTCCTCGTCCAGCCCAGCCGCATCGCTCTGCCACGCGGAAACGCTGCCGTTTTCACCCGAGGACTCCGACGATGAGAGCAGCACCCGGCGGCGCCGCCTGGTTTGTGAAGAGCAGGCTGCCCCATCAGACACCCGCCGCTTGAGGCGCGCGGGAAGCTCGTCGAATTCAGAATCCGTTTCTATTGTGGTGGGCACCAGCCCAGCCTGATCAGCCTGGGGCCACGCCCATTTCCGTCGCTTGCGGCAGAGCCGGAGCACCGGGAAGGGCTGCCTTCCTTGGCAGAGGACTTCGACGGTGGGGGCGAAGAAACGGGTCGGCGCCTCGTTCGGAATGCTTTAGTCGCCCGCCCCGGCGCTCGCGGCTTGAGGCGGCGGCCCAGCAGCTGGGAAACGTCCGACTCGGAGTCGGAGCCCATGATGCCTTGCGCAATCACTGAATTCTCTTCGACTTGACTTCCGTCATCGATCATTTCCCGATCTTGGGATGTCTCCTCGTCCAGAGATTTGCTCATGCTCTCAAACTCCGCCCCCTCAATGTCCTCGCCCTCTTCTTCGGATCCTGACCGCTTGAAATCGGACTCGTCGGCCGCACTCGTCGTCCACCGCTGTTTGCTGCCGCTTTCCTGGACAAACGATGGGAACTTCGTCAGCAATTGACCAAGAGAGGTCAAGTTCTGTAAAATAGGACCGAGTGCATTCGGTGGGAGGAAGGCAGGCCGTCAGCTGCTGGCGCTGTCCAGAGATCCGTACGGAAATCGCAGATGTTTTTTTTCAGCGCGTGAATTCTGACCATCTGGAACGAACCCATTCTTAAGAAGGTCGTCGCACGCGAGAGACATACGAGGAACAAAAAGGTAATTGACAAGATCCTCCCGCCACAGACTGCCAGAAAGCATCAAAACCCACACTCAGCAACACTGGCAATACTGGCATTACTGGATTACAGCTCAAACCTAAAATCAGACTTCAAAGGGAGAAACCTCTGTAGCCTGCAAGCCCGATTCTAAGATCGATTCGACTAAAATGGCTTGACTGAGCTCGGCTCACTTCTCACCTCTTTTGTGGCGCTGCAACCCTTGCTCTCATCAGCAACGCGAGCTATCCCTCTCACTGAAGTCGACAGCTGACTCTCTTCCGCGGCGAAGTTGCTTTCCAACTGGAAAAACGACAGTACTTTGAGTATTTATAGCACGTCCTCACAATTCCGTCCACAATCACGATCACAGACTGGCAGACGTGCCAGCACTGCACATTGCTAATTGCTGTCTAAAAGTCCAAAGTGCATCATTGCCAGATATCATTTGCGCGTGCGCAGTGCTCAGATGGTCACTACAGAAGGATGGCCTCACATTGTGATGATTGAGCCTGTTTTGGCATCATCGCAACGCGACGTTCATTCAAAAGCCGCTCCCCTGCTCCCCTTGACAAGTCTCGGATACTTGACTTCGCGAGTCACGACGAAAAGCATCTAAGACAGCTCCCAATCGATGTGCCAAAGCAAAGAGACCATTAATGGAGACTCACCAAGGCAGTGAAGGGGCCCTTTTCTACCATGTCCTGATGGTCGAGCTCCTTCTCGTCTTGCGCCTTGTTCGCGCTTGGCTTCTCCCCTGAAGACACAGATTGAGTGATGCCCTCATTCACCCCGGATTCACACGTTCCAGGGGCAAGGCCCCCCTTGGGAATTGCAAGGCTGGGGTTCATCTGGAGAAAGAGAAAATCAGCGGCCAATTTTTGACACCCATGCAGGTGCTCTAAGGAGTTGCTGCGTAACTTTCACAGTGGCAGAGTGCTCATCGGTGGCCGACTAGTTGGAATGGCCGGTCTGACTGACGAACGTACCAGTGGACCACACCCTGCACAAGGCTCTCCCTAGCGTTTCTAAAGCATCACTGACGACGTGTGGGCCAACAAAGCGGAACCTGCTTGCCACATGCTCCTGAATGGCCGGAATGGCCGGTCTGAGTATCGGCGAAATTAGAGCTGGGCTGCACACAAGCATACAAGCTGCTTTCATGGTGTCCGCTTTGCCTGCTGTGCAACGACTAACAGTAGCATACCTGTTGCTTCCTCGTCAGATACTCCAGGAACTTGTCAGGAACACCACGCTGATCACATGCTGGCTGCCAGCTCCGTTCGACGTCCTGCACAACATCCTCTTCGTTCATCTGTACCTTTCGTCGGTTGGATTACCACGAGACGCTACCCTTCAAAATTCAGGAAACTTGAAGACGTTCTCAGACAACCTTTTGAAGCGGAGCGCTACATTCGTCGTCGTATCATCACACTAGCATAGAGCCATGTGGGAATAGTCAGATCGGCACGCACTCATTCTCACCTCTCGAGAGGGCAGAATCACAAGCGGACGACGAAGGCTGACATTGGGTGCAGGTCCGTCCTTGTTCTCGTTCTTTTGTGACTGGGACGCTGGCCACCCGGGATTGCTTTCGATGCCGCCTATCAGCAGAAGCTTTGCTGCAAAACGAACGCAGTAATGGTCAAAGAAGCCAGACCGACCATTTGGGTCATAAAGAAGCAAATGGCGTGCAGGCCTTCTTGTTGAGGACCACACCCTGTCAATGATTATTAGGAAACCCGATCTGAGCACTCTAAGGCCGTGTGCAAGGTGTGGTCCAGCAAGTCAGAGCGTCCATCCGGTTTTGGACCACACCTTGCACATCGGCTTCAGAACTCTGTTGTTCTGCTAGCAACAGCCATCTGCAGGGTGTGGTCCAACCTTTCAATGAATCGAAACCATTCTACAAGCCTTCGGAAGCATGTAGCGAGCAGGTTTGGGGGCTTGGACCACACCCTGTCGATGATTATTAGGAAACCCACTCTCAGCACTTCAAGGCCATGTGCAAGGAGTGGTCCAGGAAGTCAGACCGGCCATCCGGTCACGGACCGCACCTTGTCAAAGAATATTAGAGAACCCACGTTCAGCACTCCAAGGCCTTAAGCAAGGTGTGGTCCAGCAAGTCAGGCCGATCATTCAGGTCGTGAAGAAGCAAAAGGGGTACGCGCTGTTGTTGATTGGACCACACCTTGTCAATAATCCTATGGATCCCTCAGCCCTCGACGCCATCTGCAAGGTGTAATCACAAAGCAGGCTTTGGCACTTTTCTCTCACACGACCGTCAAAAGAAGAGCAGTTACAAACAGGAGACGTAACTTACCAATGAGGAGCCTGCTCTTCGGGGTCGTATCCCAGCAAGGATTGTCGTGCTGATACGCGTCGCATGCTGTGAAAGAGAAGTAGAACGCAGTTGGCACGTGAGCCTGCCAGCAAGCTTTGCAGCGAGCTGTAGAGGTGAGCATTGAGCTGAAAGGGGTCTCATGCTTGATGTCAAGGAGTCCCTCGAACATACATCGCAGAGATGAGCTTTCAAAGTTAACAGAGACTAAGCATGGTTCAAGCTGCAGAGCTGTCCATCAAAGATTAGATCGTGCACGGGTCAAAAGGCAAGGCGCAACTTGCTTGCTCTGTGCCTGCTAAAACCTCATAATGTCTCCTCCTTAGATCATTCTTCTCGTCAAGCGCTTGTGCGAGCTCTCTCTTCAAATTGTGCACTTCACGAGCACGTGCCCAGTCTGTGGAAAGGCGCAGAGCACATGTCAATGTTGCAATGACTAGCTCAGATGCACAACAATCACAGGCTTGTGGATGACAGCCAACATATGACCTACAGACTCCTGCAATCTGCCTTCTTGTACGTGCATGGTCCGACTGGCTCAGCGTTTCGATTTGGCGGATGTATAGGGCTTACCTGCCCGGGTCTTTTCCAACTTAAAGCAGCCAGGATTGCCAGGATTCGATCGCTCATGTATCTCGCAGAAGCACTTGATGTCGCCCCCTCCCTTGCCCCCGCGTCGCGCACAGGTTGCGGGAGAGCTGCAGTCTTTGCAGAGGAGACCGTATGGAACTGGAAGGAATGCACGGAGGGTTGGGGTCAGGAGCCTGGACAGTAGATCACAAGTGCATCCGAGGCCTTGAATCTGAATCATGCAAAGGCCTGATGGGGTGCTAGCTCGATCAATGTGCTGCTCCTAACCCTTGTCCCCAAAGAGGTAGGTGGCCAGTTCCTCCCTCGCCATCCTTGCTCTCCTTGATGTGCCACCAGCTGGGGGGCGGGCCTGGTTCGTGGTCGATCGACTCGCGGGCGCTGGGCTCGCGGGCGCCCTACGAGATCCACGGGATGCGCTTGCCGATCTCTGCAGCCCCTCCAGATGGGCCTGCTTGATCGAAGTCAAGACCCTTTCAAAGCCCTGTTCCAGGCGTGCATCTGCAGTGCCCGCGAGCCCCTCAAGACCAGCCATCGCCGCATGCAGCCCCCCATCCCAGGCAGCCTTCGACCAGAGAAGGCCTGCAGACCGGAGCTCCTCTCGAGCGCGCCGGCACAGGGCCCCCGCCACCTTCCGGAAGATGCGGTGGTCTCTCGTGCCAGAGCCTCTCCGCGCACTTGCCACGAGCTCTTTGACGGTCGAGAGGGGGAAAGCCTTGTCATGGGATGCGCTTGAAGTGTCCTGCAAGGACAACGTGGCACCGTCGGACCCATGTCGATCACAAAAGAGTGGGCAGGCGTTTTGCCTGAATTTCTGTACCGCCACAGATATGTGCAGCGAGGGCGAATCACAAAGAAGAAGCGAGAGTGAAAGACGAACTAGGTGGCCAGAACTCTTGACTCATAGTCAAGGCATTCTGCCCATGATCCTTGAGAACGTCAGGAGCAATTTTGCAGACCAGTCAAAACTTCCTCGGAAGATATAAGCATTTCAGCTTTTAAGGGCAGAATTTTTGACTCCAAGCCGAGGCGAACCCGTTCACCCATGATCGTGAGAACGCTCAGAGGCCACCCGGTGATTCGTGATCCCGAAGATCGTTGTGAGTGCTCGCGCCCACCAGTCAAACCTTCCTTCTTGATATAAGCATTCCAGCTTTCGCCGACTGGAATTTTTGACTCGCCCATGCAAGTACGAGTTTTCCATGCATGATCCCGAAGAACGCTGAGAACGATGGCGCCGACCAGTCAAAAGTTGCATCCTAACCATAAGTCTATGAGCTTCCAATAACAGAATTTTGACTCACGCACGCAAGTACCGGCATTCCGTACATAATTCTCAGGAACTTACACTATGAACGGTAGAGCCGACCAGTCAAAACTGACCTTCAATATAAGCATCTGAGACTCTCACGACAGGACTTTTGACTGCCACGCAAGGCCGGCCATCCCACCCTACCTCCAAATCACGCTATGAGCGGTAGCGCTGAGAAGTCAAAACTTCCCTTCCTATATAAGCATCTCAGACTTTCCAAGGCCGAGCTTTTGACTCCCACGCAAGAACGGCGATTCCATTCCATTCTCGAGACGCGCAGTGACTATGGCGCCGACCAGTCAAAACTTCCCTTTTGAATATAAGCATCTCAGACTTTCACGACAGAACTTTTGACACCAAAGCAAGGCCGTCCATTTCACCCATCAGGATCTGTAACACGCTCTTATTGATTGCGCCGACTGGTCAAAACTTCCCTCCAAGATATAAGCATTCCAGCCTTTCACGACAGAACTTTTGACTCGCCGGCCGAGCCATTTCACCCACAATCCCTGAAGAATGTTGTGGGCGCACGCGCCCAACAGTCAAAACTTCCCCCATAAATATTAGTATTTCGGACTTTCAAGAAAGAACTTTTGACTCCCAGGCAAGGCGAGGCCAGTCCAAAGTCCCCCATGATCCTGAACAACATCGAAAGTGGCATTCAAGATGCCGCTTACCGCAGACCTCGCAGAAGCCATGTTTGACTTTGCACCATCTTTCTCACCGCTGTCCACCTCACGAGGGTTGGCAATGCGGGTACCCGCATCTGGCGAGAGATCAGATGAGCGCGGCCTGAGTTGCTTTGCAGGGCTGGTTCCCGCCTGCAGAGGGAGAGTCCAAGATGACATCACAAGAGGTACAGGCTCTCTTGTCTGGCAGTTTGATATGCATGGAAAGCGTGGCAACACTGGATTATGCGACCATGACAGCTGATCTGCCAAGAAGCCAAGCAGAAGGGGGAGGGGTGATGGCAACAGACCAACACAATTCAAATAGCTGATTATGTTGAGGAGCATCAGAAAGTGTGCTTGAGAGTAACACTCTATCCTAAAAGTGAATCAGTAGGTCCAACCTAAGGCCCCACTCACCTGCATCTGCACGACGTGTGGCGAGTCACTGGTGGCCATGTCTTGCAGCGGCAGACTTTCTCCAGATTCCATGGCGCGCCTCCGCTTCCCAGGCGCTGGTTGCTTGAATGACCCTTTTCCAGGTAATCCTAGGCCGGTTGGCCAAGCTTGGAGACTCCTACATGATTAGAACCTGCAATCCAAAGCCAGAGATGCCGAGTCCGTGTCTATCTCACGCATGTCGTGAGGGCGCTACTTGAAAATTCTTGCTTCTTCAATTAAGAAACAGGGGGCAAAAGATCACCCCGCCAGCCAGCGCCTCGTTCGCCCACAGCAGGCCCCAAACCAGCTTGACAGCTTGACGAAGGTCCACACGTGGATCATCCAAACCATGCGCGCTGACGCATCATTGCCCCAGCAAAGCGCACCGTAGGAGTTAGACGGCGGGCTGCAAAACAGCCTTGACAGCGAACCCTAAAGTTGCCCAACAGCAGGCCCTGGAAGCAGCCCCTCGGCAACTCCCATCCGACCCCAACTCAGCCTGACAGCGGGCGCAGAGCAGCCATCAGAAGGGTCCCAAAGCAGATTGGTAGTAGGCCCCAACTCAACACGAGAAAGGGCGCCGAAGAGCCAAGAAGAAGCCCCCAGAACCAGCCAATAGCGAGCCCAGAAGACTTCTCCAAAGGACTTGTCTGGCCCTGCAATGGGTCCAGAAGATCAGCCCTGCAGCAGACCAACATCAGCTTGCCAAGTGGGCCCCAAGTCTTCATGCAATCTGATCGAAGCTCCCAACCTACCGGATTACATCACCTCAAAAGAATCAGTGCACTGAGCCAAGCATTGGGATGGCCTCGAATTGAGGGTGCTTTCCATGCCGGAGCTTTTTGAGTTCTGCACTACCGTGCTTCTTCTTGCACGATGCTATTTGTCAAAAACGTTCATTGAATATCCCCTTTTGAAGAACTGACATGCATACACTTGCCAGGCCCAGCCAACTTATTCAAGGCACTCGTGAAACCTCTCCATTGCTCGCTTGTGCGCCTCTTAGCTCTGCTCCTCAAGCTGTGAAGGACACCTGCACACACCCGCAGACCGCATCAACCACGTCAGGACCAATGGGCAAGTCTGATGATTGCTTCAGTGAATTGTTGTCTTCAAGAAGAAAGATTATGTCTATTTGCTGCTTGAGTCTAGCTTCAATAGGCTTTAGAAAGAAGGCGGACAGTATGCAAACCATCACCGAAAGCAGGTCTTTCAAAGAGGTGCAAACTTGGATTTCCGGCTGATCGCCTCATGTTATATCCTCCCTTCAAACATGAGGACAATGCGGGCTGCACGCTGACTTGCAGGCAATCAGGCAGCGAGAGGGGGCGTGGAGGAGCTTCACACTGCTCCAACAAACGACATACAAACAGGGGCACCCCGCAGGCTCTTCAGCTATAACACTGACAAGCTCAATTCCTCAAACGAAGATGTCTTACCTTGTCTTTGCCTGCTGCCACTGGCTTGCCTCCTTTGCATTGGCTTCTTATATTCAATGGTATGAGCTCTGGACGTGATGAAATAGCTGGGCTGCAACGTTGACAACCTTAAAAAGAAGCCATGACACTTGACATCCATACAAGGGATGCCGATGCCTGCAACCTTGCCAAGATGTCAGAGAAAACAGGTCAAGATATCTCTGGAAACATCTCAAGCTGACAAGGATGCTTGGCCACGAGGCAGCCATGCAGACCTTTAACAGGACGCCATGGAGCGCCATTGCCTTTGCTCTATTACAGCTGTTCTCTGTCAGGGATGTCCGGTCTCCCTGAAACCTGAGCTGGGCAAGCTGACAGCTAGTCTGAGACCTGCTTGACATTTGGATTGGGAACGGTCTGCCGGCAGTGCGCGGTAAGGGTCGAGCTCGAGACCCTACGGTACATCCGGGGCCGTATGGGTCACAGCTTGTGCGACAAGGCCGAGCGGCCAGGGGAATCAGTGTAAGGTCGCGCCAACCGAAGTTTCCTGGGGGGTGACTGACTGGCCCAGAGCACGAACAAAGGTTATCTTATACGAAAGCTCTAGCTTTCTGCGACTGCTTTTTCCTTCCAATCAGGCGCACTATTTTTCATATTGATATTGTTATTGTTATTGTTATTGGCGTTGTTGGAGGTAATCATATCTACGGTGTGTTCCACACCTGAACACCTAGGAACAAAAAGACTCGGATTCTTTGCCCTAAGTCAATGCTCGGGATGTCAGATTCATTGGCGGCGCAGGTCTTCTCATGGTTGCTGCTGCTGGGATCGCAATGTCGACAATTGAGGTGCTATGGCACTCGCATCGAAATCTGGAAATTGCTAATAAGCCAACGCCCTAGCTGCTTTGTACACCAAATTGGGTGGTGTGAGGCATGCCTTGCACGTTGAAGGAATCTGCATGATCCTCCTCGATCCATTGATGGGATCTGAAATGAAGGACGCGCTGCCCATTGAGTGCCACATAACCATGGTAACAGAGCTTTACGACACAACTGCAATGTTGAGAAGCAAGTAAATGTCTCTAGCGGGAAAGCCGGCGCATATAATGCTTCGTATTTGAGCACTCAAAGGAGTTGCTTTCAAGTGACATCCATCAATAGCAACAATACTAAATGGTTGATATGCATTAGGCCGCACTCGGCAGCAATTGTCACAAGATCGAAACCACTCTGATTATAGCTCAACATTGCCCGAATTGCGAGACAAACGTGTTTTAGCTTTGCGGAGCCTTTGGAATGGCGCACGCAAATATAGTGCCACCACGGCACATTAGAGCTGCAAACGTCAACGTTTCATGAAACCTTGTAGACTTTGTATTGGATGCCGCAGTATGCATGCACATAATGCGCTACAATGGCAGGTTTATTAAAATTGAAGCAGGCTTCTCCCGTTGGTCTAACAAAAATCGCAATGTATACGCCTCATGCTCGCATGCCTTTGGCACCAGACTCAAGAATCCGCTGACCAAACAAACGTCCTCTTGAAACTTATTCAGCGCTTGCAGCGAACACTATTGCTGCCAAGCCCCTTGCGCAGTTACACATCGCACTGCTCCAACACCCTAGACATCCTTGAGGCAGTCCAGATGATGCCGCTCGGCGTCCGTTAGGTAGTGCCCTGCATTCGACTTTGAGATGCACACCTGCACTACCTCGAACTCGTTCTCCTCCGGTACTTGGAGCCGGTCCGAGCGTCGCAGCGTGGACTGGGCATAGCTGGCCGCCTTCACATCTGCCGGGTATGCTAGAAGAACCCGCAAGATGCCTTTCACGCCCCTCTGCTTCAGGAGAGACGTCAGCTGCTTCCGCTTCCCTTCTGCCACCGACGCAGGATCACCTTTGTACATGGTCCGGATGTTGAGGGTGCCCAGCGCATGTCCCTTGTTTGGCACCTTCTTCCGACACTTGGCTTGCAGGATGGCAAGCCACCGCTCACCGCTGATGCTCAGGAACGAGGCATTATCGGGTCCAGCTCCCTCCTCGGGAAAGAACGCAGAAACGCCAGCCGGCTCGTCGAGGAACTCAATCAGCCCCCGCCCTTTCCTCCACGTCTCGACGCGCGGGACGTCCTCGATCCTAAGCTCGAAACTCCTCCCACCCTGTCCGAGGAGGCACTCCACGTGAGCGGGCCCGTAGAAGCAGTCGGGGAGACCCACTAATCCTTCGAGCAGGGGATGATCCGCCAAACAGCTCCTGGTCACGAAGCGCTGCTGCGCTTGGGGGATAATGCGTTCGAAGAGGGCCCCCATGGCCGCGTCACTAGGGGACGTCCGAAGCAGTCCCAGCCCCTGGTTCTCCAGGCGCCAGTGGGCTTCTGTTTCGAGGAAGTTGGTCACCGCCATTGCAGCGAGGGGCTCCACCAGCGTCACCATGGTGCACTCCCCCGGGCGCCCCAGGTGAGCCAGGTGGCACACCCCGACTTCGATCATGTCCACGTTCGCCTTGTCCGTGGACACCCCCTTTCCAACGAGGTAGTAGCCCAGCACTAAGCACCGCAACTCCTCCACCAGCTGAGCGAAGAGGTAATCCGACAGCTTTGGCTTCATCTCGTACAGGCCCTTCAGGAGCGACGTCGGCACGTTCCGTCTCGTGTGGAGATTCTCCACGAACTGCAGCGCTTCCTCCCAGGACTTCCCGAAGAGGACCGCCTGCACCAGCTGCGCGGCGAATCGAGGTCGCCCCCCGAGGATGTGCACCCGGACGCCTTCTGGGGGGCTCTGGAGATACTCCTGCGCGTACTGGAGCGCACCGTCCATGGTGAAGCGGGTGAAGTCGGTGAAGGACGCCAGCTGAGCTGCACCCATCTCGCCGACGGCGGTCTCGAGCTGCTGCGCATGACTGAGGCTGAGCCCCGTGCCTGCAAGAACCAAAGCACCCATCTTTTCGAGGAACTTGGGAAGAAAGCGAGCTGCACTCAAGCACGAGGTGGCCAGATAAGTTACTACCGGGCAACCTGCTAGGAAACACTGATTTAGGGACAAGTGGCAGGGTCCGCGATTTGCGATGCTGCAGACAGAGGCTCAAATGCGCTGAGCGATATCAAGCAGAAGAATGTCAGAGAGCCAAGCAGCGATGGGGCTGATTAATTCTACAAGACGTACCTGTCAGGTTGAAGTGGAAGTACGCGAAGATGCTATGATGCAGGCTCCGAACCAAGCCGTTCAGCAGCGGCCGCCCCTCCGTCTTGTCACGGCTCGGGAAGTACCCGTCCAGTTCCCGTGTCCCGACTTGCGCCTCGTCCAAGAAGGTGTTGAAGAAGTCCTGATTAGTCAGCCTTCGCAGCTCCCCCATCGTGGCTTGCAGCTTCTGCTCGACCGCCTCCCGCGACAGGCTCAGCAGGCAACCCCAGGTTTTCAGCAGCCAGTCCTGGAAACACATCAGAGGCCCATGAGCGACTTGATAGCAGCAGAAGGTGAGATGATGGCAACAGTTTACACGAGATGCAATTGTGCAGAGTGCGAAAGGGAGAAAGTGCGAGAGCAAGGCCATGTTTCAAACACTATCACAGGAGCGAAGGGACTACCATTAGACGATGTCTGCACCCCTGCCCCATGAAGCTAATCTCCTAAGGAACAAGCAGCCCTCACCTCCTGTGCACTGATGCCGATGAGCTGGAATAGGAGGAAGCCCTTGGGGCTGGCTTTGTCTTCGTGCTGCCTCAGGTACTCGCGGAGGCCCAACGCGTATGCCAGCAGGATGCGGGAGATGAACTTCCTCATGTCATGGAGCCGCTGGTCACGGAACTCTCGCAGGCGGGAACCGTCAGCCTCGACTGCCCCGTATCGCTGCCCATGCGTCTCACGGAGTCGATCGATGGCCTGCCGCAGGATGTTCGTCCCGGGCTCCTTCTCCGTCGAGAAGCTCAGGTAAAACCCATACTCGTGGCAGCTTGCCTCGAGCGCCGTGCGGGACTTCCCGGCTCCTGAGGGCCCGATGAGCGCGGTCGCGCGCGTCTGCACCTGGTCCTGGCCATGCCCCGACGCGTGCAGCTGCTTGTTCTCCGCCAGCAACGTCTGTGCATTCGTAAGACCAGGCTCGATGCGTCCAGGGAGGTTTGTGAGCAGCAGGCTTGGCGAGTTCCGAAAGTACACAGTGGACACGTCTCTCCTCGCGAAGGCGTTGCTAGGGGGTGGGGCCCTCAGGTCAAGTTGCGGCTGCCCGTTTCCTTCTGGTGAGACGAAGGCATGCTCCAAGACGTTGCGGATTTCCTCATCGACTCTCTCATCCCAGAGGTCATCGTCGCTCCGCCCTGCGTGGACAGACAGAAACAGGCCTGAGGACTCTGCTTAATGAGGAAGCAAGCCGAAGTAAGCTGGCAGGGACAAATAAAAGAAAAGACCTATGATCTCTGCAACGCCTTGATATTCATAAGAAACGAAAATGGTCTCTAAACACAGTCTAGAGAAAAACTTGTGACACGTCTTTCACCAGCTGAACCGCAAGGACAACAAGAGCAACAGGCAAGAGGCAATCGAATAACACAGCCATGCTGCAAGAGAGCCAGAGGACATGCTCAGCAGAACTCACGCCTGTGATCTCCCTGCAGTACGTCCCGCTCAATGGCGTCCTCAGACAGGCCCCCATCTGCACCGGTCTGCCCCCTTCCAGCAGCTGCACAAGAAGAGGGAGCAGATCAGGCGGAGTTCTCAAACTCGCTCTCCGTGCTGCTTTCGCCGAACATCTCTCTGCTTCGGAATTGTGGAAGCCCCCTGGTGCGAAACAGCGAGGCAATCATAAAAGCTCAAAACTGGGTGTTCTGAAAGCGGGTCCAGAGTTGCGCCACAGGACCAAGGTCCCTGCTCTCACTGCAGGCTCAGATGGATGTCTGCAACGCGCAACCCTATCAAATATCGACTGATGTGTAAAGTTGTGACTGGCTCTTGAAAAGGACCCAATATCCTGCAAAGGGTGCCTCAAGAACCATCGGCAGCACCATGTCCCGAGAGCTTATCACCCCACGGCTTATGAGAATGTTTTTGAAACAGCCCGACCAAAAGTGGAGTCAGCGTACAATCCATTGATCCAGTTCATGTGGTGGGGGCAAGTCTGTCAGGTGCAAGTCTGCCAACCCATGAGGAAGCAGTTGGCGTCCTTGAAAGCAGGGGGGAAAGCGATCGGAGAGAATTGCCAATCGATGAAGTAAAGGGCGACTTGATGCTTAGAAGGAGAAAGCTACAACTCAGAACCAACACATCCAAGCAGACGCTTCAGCAACCACACATACTAGCCCTGCATGTTCAAGACTGACGCCCCAGGAAGGGACACTCACGTCTCCTGTATTCGACGTCCGGCATTGCCACATCCCCTGAAGGGCCCGCGCCTGCGCCCCCTCCCCCTCGTGCAGCAGCTGGGACATAGAGAGAGGGGTTTAGCGGATGCGTCTTCACTTCTTTGGCAGCCAGCCTCCCCCACGCGGCGCCGCAATTTGGCAGAGTCTGCGAGCAAACCAGACCATCGAAGAGGAGCGGCCGGCAGCAGCCCAGGCCAAACTTTTTCAGGGCACACCAGCAGCTCCCTTCTTATATGCTCAAGGACGACAGAAGCAGGCCTCGGAGTGTCGGCTTCGGTAGTCAGCGGCAACGACATGCTCAAAGATGTGCAAATTTCCTGAAGCCTCAGCGGCCATGCTGACAGACTCTGCTGTTTATATATTGCAATCAGCGGTATTCCACCACTCTCTTAAATCGCCCGCAAGCAAGCATTTATGCTTGCACGTGCAGAAACCCTAAAAGATGCTGGCAAAGATCAAGCTTGTAAAGGCAATTGAATTGACAGCGCTAAACATTTTTATCCAACCTGACGAGACCTTCAGCGTGCTTACTCTTGCAAATAACTGAAACTATAAAGAGGTTTGTTGAGCATTGTCTTGTCCCCAGCAGAGGCTGCCTTTGATCTGCGACCAGGCAACTTCCATACCATGCACCCAGCTCAGGAAGCATGTGAAAATCATTCTGGCCTGACAGGTGAAGCAGAGGGACACTCTCCAACCAGAAACCAACATACTGGATGGTCGGCGTGGATCACTGCGTCTACCATGAACCAGAGAGTTCCAGCACTCCGCCCATTTGCAGGCATGCACGACTGCTGTCGCACAGGACTGATTTTTGTGGGGTGTTCTCTGACAGAGAAACCACTTGTTTTGACTCACCTTCCCTTCAAACAACCCAGAGTGCATACCGAGAGAAATCATGCAAACGAGGCTTTCCGCTTCTGCTGCCATGTCATTGACCTCGCTTGCTCTTGACGGAGGCCCCAGCGATAACGTCTCCCACAGGACATACCAAGACATGCCATTTAGCAGTACTAGAATGCTTGACCCTTATCCCAATCTCAAATCCTGGTCTCTGACAAATTGCGTCAAAGCTAGCCTACTCGATCAAAGAAGGAGCTGCTCACCCGGAATCCCCAAGAGAAACAAATCCCAGTTCCCTGACCATTGCCCTGTGTACAGGCGTGCCCACAGGTACAAGGCGGTGGTGCGGTGCTCGGTTGTGGACTCTCTCCAACTCTCCAAGGTGGTCATCTTCTCTGCCAGGAAACTCAGCAGGGGAGGGTCGATCTTTGGATACGCTTCCTGCCAATCTCGCGCAATCTGTGAGGGGGAGACATTGAAAGATCACCACAACAACGTACACGCCGCTGTTCTGGTAGCATGAACACGAAGAGAAGTTGCTCTGTAATGCTTGAGTACAATTCGCGCTGATCTTGCCCTGAACTGCTGGCGGGACATCCCCTTCTCAAGGCTCACCTCCTCGGGAGAAGGTCCAGGGTTTGGTTCAACACCACCAATGTTCAAAAGCGTTGCTGCATGGAAGTATGCCACGGTCAGATGCTGCATAGGCGACCTGCTGGATTCATCCGGAAATCGGCAGATTCCAAACGCAAGTCGACAGATAGGTGGTATTAGGACAAGCCCAAGTGCTATGTTCAGAAGAAGCCTGCTTCATGACGGACTGCAGATCCAGAGTTGCTATCGAAGTGCCTTACCTATAAGCGCCTGGCTCATGGGTACAGAGGCCCAAACCCCCTTGCTTTGAGGTTCGTTCCTAGCTGCAGGGGGAAACGGCGGAGAGTTGGATTGGGGTCGTTCATAATTTTTGTGTTAAATGCACATCCACAGAAATCATAACGCATCAGAGGCATGACAGAGACCCTGCCGCCTTGAACTGTATACAAGAGACTAACAAACTGGTATACCCGGAAACGCCGATCCAGATTCTAAAGACTAGAATAATGAATGTCATCTTGGTACGAGGTCTTGAAAAGCTGCAAAGTTGGCCAAATCACGAAAGATGTACCATCGAACGCTTCTTCTTGGTACGCAGCTTTCGGTACGCCACTAGGAACCCCTCCAAATGAACAAAAACTAGCCATCTGAGCCCAACGTCACCAGGAAGAGGACTCTCATTTCTCGCCTCGTTGCGTGACACCTGCCAATGGTTTGTAGCGCGGGCATGCAAAGTAATGATTGGACCTTTGGCTTGGTGCTCACCTGCTGACCCTGCCCATGACCAAGGAGGGGCAGATGATCCAAACCCTTTCTTCTCCTGCTCGCATTCATGACAGGAAGAGTTCGCCTTCCGCAGCATCTCCTCGCGAGCCTGAACCCATGCTGCAATGAGAAAAGGGCACGATCAGTCCAGAGCTGCAGAAGCTGCAGCCATGCCAAGTCCTGCGTGATCCAAGGTCAATCTTGCCTCCTCTTGCCCACAAGCGGGGTGTGTGCCTCGGTCCCTGTCAATAAGGAAACAACCCTTTGTTGGGCCGTGCAGCTCGCCGTAGTACCGGATGTTCCCTCCAGTCTTGCTTCCCTGGAGCCCCCATTCTGCTGTCGAATCGCACTCATGGCAAAAGATAGCATGTGGGTCTGGAAAAGAGACAAAGGCAAAGGGAATCAGGGCCAATCACACCTGACACAAAGACCGGCCATGCCATCAACTTCAGGCATTCTACCAAGAAGTGACCTATTGATACCAAGGAAAGAATCGGCCAGCACTTGGTTTACTTTCCTGCCATGCCATCAACTTCTGGCACTAAACCAGGAAATGACCCATTGATATCTCAAAGAAATAACCGGCCATTTCTTGGTACACTTCCTACTTCAACTTCTTGCGCCCTTCTCATGTTTCAAGGCACGCCCAGCCATGCCTACAACTTCTGGCTTTGTACCAGGAAATCCTTTGAAATCTCTGACTTGAAGAAATAACTGGTCAAAATCTGGTACCCTTTCCTGCGCACGGCCAGCCATTCTGCTGGTCGATGTTGATGAAAGATCATCAACCCAATGTTCTAATCAAGAACACTCTTTTCCTGAAACAGTGGTATGGTTGCACGGCCAGCGATCCAGTGACCTCAAGAATTGGCTTTGAAGAAGCAAACTCACCACGTTCCGCAGCGCAATTCACAGCTTCTCTGAGCACCCGCACGTCCTGCCGCTTTGCTTTCTGATCCGCAGCGCTGCAGCGTCCGCGTGCTGGAACTTCTCGAGCAGGCTGCCCCTCATGCTTCGATTCCTTTGACCTTTGACACCGCCGGCGGCGAGGGGCAGGGATGTCATCGCTTCGTGCATTGACAGCATCTATCAGAATTTCTTGCCTTTCTGCACTAATTGAAATGCGCTCCCTGTACTCTGCAGCGTGTGCAAAGCGAGCAGCCTGGCAGACCCTGTGATCAGACTTGGACCTGCCACAAGGCCGGCTTCTTGCCATTTTCTATTGAGCAGAAGCTCCGCTGGTCACAGCTGCAGTCACACAAAAGAGAAGACTGATTTGTCCACAATGAAGAAACTTTGCAGCGATTGATAGCTTGGAAAACCGGTTAAGTGGCAATCACAAGCGAGGGCATCGCAGACACGCTGAATCTTGATGTACTTTCGACAAGGGTAAACTCCCAAGTATGGAAGGCCGTCAGTCTGCCCTGAAAACACTCCGCGCTTGCGGCTTGGCGCTTGGCAGTTCCGCCCCCTGCAAGCACAGTCGCTGACGTTATCCTTCTCAGCTTGCGAGCTTGTTTCTGTGCTGGCACCTGTTACAATGCTGGACGGCCGAGTTCGCACTGTAGACTTGCACACCTTGTCTAGGGTAGGACGATCCTAGACCGGGTCCCCGACTTCTATATCTCTGGACAGTTCTATACAAGTGTGGTTGCCTTTGCCGACCCATTTTATACCGGGCTCGTGTGTGTGGCAAAGAAGTGACGGCTTCCGTATGCTGTAGACCGGGCTCGTGACCCGGTAACGGTTCGTAGCGGTACGGTGTACATACGGCGCCTTATGGCTCATAGCCTATGCCGAAAGGGCTAATATCTGGGTGCCCGGTAGAGTGACCGGGATGGGTTGGGTGGGAATGCAAGGTCGCGCCAACTGGCGCCTGTCTCCAGCTTCCGGCGCAAGAAGTTTGAACAAGCGTGGAACAAGGTGTGCAGGAACGGTAGTACGTGTCACCATTCAATACAAACATTGATTTCCCAAGGAAAGCCAATGCCGCACTGGCTCGTGTATGCACATGAGCTGCAGCGGCTTTACGAGAAACCCTCACTGCTTTAGGTATATAGGTAAACACCATAACACCAGGCAGGCTGGCACGCCGTGCATTGACGTACGGTAATTCGCTCAACGGACATGCAACTTTGAAATGGACAATCAAATTGAGCTGTGTCAGCTGCCCGGGAAGAGATTCGCGATTGTCACGATTGCACACTTCCTCACTGCATGATTCTTAACTGACTCTCGATCCTTCAAGTTCAGCTCGATGCCACTGCTTTGAGCAGTATGTAGCATTGGATGTAGCGTCCGCATATTATAGGCAGGCGGCGCGGCGCTATTGTTGATTGCAGTACTGAGAGACTCAGACGTCATGTTGAAGTGCCTTAAACTCTTGTTTGAGGTTCCAAGTATCGAAGTAGATTGCAAGAATCCAAAATCTTGCACAGTAAGTTCGACAATTGTTGCGTGGCCAGTGTCATCGCGTGATTGTCGGTCAGACCATCAGCTCTTTGAAGCACAGCACGTACATAGACTCGCAAAAAAACGATTTGGCCACGGTTATCGAGTGAATCTCGTGATCAATCTGCCTGGAGCCGGGCGGCCCCAAGAAAGCATCGAGAGTCAAGACGGTGCGCGGCGGTCCTTTGGGAATTATTGCAGGTAGGTTCGCACAACAATCAATAATCAACCGCGCCTTATAACGCTTCCTCGCGGCCGCCAGCAACGCACAGTCTCAACGTGTAGCAAATGATACTGTATACATGATTATTGAAAGCTGACGGTCCTCAGCATAAAAGATCCATCATGACGTCACATCCTGTCTTGACCAGTCTCCGCTTTTCCCGCCCGACTTGGTCTCAAGCTGGATATCTGAGATTACTATTGACTTCGACACTGCCTTACACATATCATACACTGTTAAGCTGGCTACCGAAGCTGCCGTCAATGCTTCCATCTCCACCCCTGTGGGGCCCCTCGTCTTCGCTTCCGCTTTGACTCTCACGCTCTGCAACTCGTGATCTAGTATTAACTCAACTTTCACTTTACTCAGCAGCAAATTATGACATAAGGGGATCAGATTTGCGGTCTGCTTGGCTGCATTGATTCCCGCTATTTGGGCCACAGTTAGTACATCTCCTTTGGCAATCTGATTCTTTGCAACCAAATCAAAAGCTTCCCTGCCGAGAAACACCCTTGCCGAAGCGACAGCCACCCGGGCAGTCTCATTCTTGTGACTGACGTCAACCATCGAAGCACGGCCGCTTGCGTCGACATGGGTCAGACCTGTTGATGAAGGACCACTGGGATTCGTTTCGCGATCCTTCGTTGCAGTGCTTTCACTGAATGCTGCCCCCCTTGACGCTTGAGAGAGGTGGTCGCCTGTAAGCTGCTCGCCAAATAGCGATGACATCTCCTGCAATAGAGGCGACAGTGAAGCTCTCAGTTGTAGTTGACTACCTTGCTTCATCTTCCTGACGCAACAGAAAGAAACCAGATAACCCACTAGATTAAACACGTGGCCTCCCTTGATACTAAACGCTAGAGGGTTTTGTCGTTTAGGAGCGAGAAGCGCCAATCGTGTGGCTGGAATACGGGATTTGAATCGGCGAGTCCCAATTGTTTTCTGGAATACTTTGCTATCCCCAGTGCGCGAACTTGGTCGATAGGTATCGGCTCCCAAGAAGTGAGCACGGCCGTCCTTCGCATGGGTAATCTTTTTTTCGATTTCAGGTTTTGTCCATATTGTATGATGCTGATCTCAAATGTATAGAAACGACCCAGACAATAAGCACAGCGCCCTCATCGGACAATCAATAGTACCATGGGCCGGTCCAGTTGCTTCTGATGTTGCCTTGTCATTGCAGCAACGTGCCTTTCACAAAGGCACGAAGGCACGAAGGCACATTTCAAGAAGAAATGTCAAGAAACAAGATGCAGGCGATACTCGGTTCGACAAAGACTATTTCTGGTTCGAGAAGGGCTGCCTTGGGGCTTCACAGACCAGAAAACAGCTGCCCTTACCTTGTTGAACTCCTCAACTGGGTCCTCAGGACTGGTCACCGCTGCGGAGGCATAGCTTCTGTGCATTCTGGGCGGTCGGAAGCTCTCCTGAGCTACCACTGCTTGACTGAAGCCCGCAATGGTAGTATCTTGTTGCAGGCCGACTGGACAGCTCAAAGCCTTGCGATGGCGGACAAGCACATCAGCAATCACCCAGTGCACTCCGCTGGACAGCCTGTCCTCTAATAAGCCTCCAGAATCCTGCCCCAAATGTCTGTGCGGTGATCTCCAGTCAGCCGTCTGTTTTTGAGCCCTTAATTCCTCTCCAACTTCTTTCTTACTTTCTTCCAGGCATCTGGGTTTCCACCATTCACCATTTGTTCTGCTTCCACTTCTCTCCAGCACAGCAAGGCCGCATTCAGGAGGCGGGGAGGTCTTGAATGTTTCAAACTTCCTGAGCAGCACACCGCCTCTGCAGCTTATCGTTTTCCAGGGAGCTCGCATGGTGGCGATTAGTCGGACCCCCGGACTACCAGCCAAAACATGGGTGCAATGCTGACCAGACTCAAAAAACTGTAGAATGGACGAATGAAGCTGCAAGTATGAGCTGGAGGCAGGGCTTCATTGATTGTGTATACTTGCACTTCCAGGTCCATGGCTTAACCGCTACGGCCTTATAAAAGAAATATACATACATACATTGACCATGGACGCCGCCCCATCTGCAGCTCGTCTCTGCTGAGCACTAGAAGTAGTAGCACTGTGCAGCTCGTCTCTGCTGAGCACTAGAAGTACCGGTAGTAGCACTGGCAGTACTCCATGCCTCCGGTATGCTGGTCGAAGCCTATTAGGCTAAGGCAACCCGTAACCACTCTTCGAACCCGGCTGACAATGACACTGTTCTAGAGCCCAGCTCCATACGGATCAAAGAATCGCAGGGGAGGTGTTGCTGCAGAACTGGGCTCTATCACATATTGGTCATTACCAACCGGATCACTTAAACCCGCCCCTGGTTGAACTCGAGAACTCGAGGCCATATGCTTCAAACTTCAAGTCAGAACTCTGTTCAGAGCAAGAGAAGGGAGGTCCATCAGAACCTAGAGGGACGCTGAGCCTGCAGAGAAAAAAGGCACTACCTGACGGTGAAAGTCGAGGTTAAAGCAGGTTGTCTGAGCTAGGCGCCACCACCTGCGCCACCGGCAAATCCATCTTTCCTGATTGTGGTTGGAGGGCTTGTAAGCTTTGTCTGATTTGGATAAAGCTGGTGAAGATGGTGAAGGCTCGTATGACCACCGCCGATGTGGCGGCAGAGATTGCATGCCTGCGGAGGCTGATTGGGATGCGTGTGGCGAATGTCTATGATCTCAACCCAAAGGTGATTGCTTATCAGAAATTGAATGTTTCTTTGGTGACAGAGCAGTCAAAAGCTGGTATGCCATATAGAATTGAGACAGCGAGCGTTTTCTTACAGAAGACGTATTTGCGTGTTTGTTTGCATGTGCGCCGTTGCGTAGAGGGTGACAGGACCTTGCATGTTTGCCTCCGCTTTCCATCACATGAAAGCATTACACAGTCAGCCGCTTGACTGATCATGCACGATGTTCAGAACATTGTGGGCCTTGACATTTGTTCTTAAGTAGTGCCACTGTCGAGACGTGGACAGCTGCATCTGGTGGTGGTTGCACAGCCAGATGCTGGTGGTCGCATGTTTCGGCCTTCCTTTTCCTAAAGGGGGGATGGCCTCCTCTGGATCAACAATTTGAAGCAGTCCGGTTTTCAGATTATCCTGGACGCTTGAAGCAAGTCCAAAGGACTTTGCGAAGAAATCATCAAGCCCTTTATGACTTCGTGCATGCCAGAATCGGGACACTAGCTGACCCCTTTGACGATGAGTACAGTGGAGCTGCGACGCGCAGTGGCATGAAGCAAGGCGGTGTCAGCTTGGACTGGAGGACCATTATTTAACAGCAGACTTATAAAGTACTCGCTTCACCTTGTGCAGACGTACGTCGTGAAGCTGGCGCGCAGCGGGGGTGTGACTGGGAGCGGCGAGAGCGAGAAGGAGCTTCTCCTGCTGGAGAGCGGGGTCCGATTGCACACCACCCAGTTTGCACGGGACAAGAGCAACACGCCTTCAGGGATCACGCTCAAGATCCGGAAGCACATCCGGACGAGGCGGCTGGAGGATATCCGGCAGCTCGGGGTGGACAGGGTAAGTCAAATGGGAAAGAGAAACGCATAAGGATGCGAATGAGTAGCTCAGGCTGAAGAGAGTGATAAATACGGGGAGGTTGGATCGGGACAGGTTGCTTTGGTTACGATTAGAGGGTATGCTTTGGACACTAAAGGTTGCTGTTTGGACCCTGCCTGAATATGATTTTACAGGGAGAGACTTCCGTTACAAGATTACCACTTCTCTCTGATGCATTGGGCGTTGAGCCAGCTTTCAGGACTCTGTCTGTCACTTCCTTTTTCAGAACCCTTCCCTCGAATGCTGCCTGTGGTTCATAGTCACGGCTTTCTGACCAGACCTACGCTTTTGTCCGACAATGAGCGCAGAGTAGATCTTGTAATCTCACCATAAGGCTTCTCAATGATGGTCAAAAAACCTTTGTTTCATCACCTGTTCATCAGGTGCGTAACCCAAACGGGTTTCAAATTCCAAGCGCATGCGCTCAGATCTTCATTCCTCAAGTTCCAAAGTCGTGATTTGCAGGTTATCGACTTCCAGTTTGGGCTGGGGGATCAGGCTCACCACCTCATCTTCGAGCTGTACGCCTCTGGAAACATCCTGCTAACCGACGCAGTCTACAACGTGCTGACGCTCCTCCGCTCTCACCGGGACGACGAGAAAGGGATATCCATGATGGCCAAGCACCGCTACCCAATCGAAACCTGTCGCCCGTTCCACCGGACCACTCTGGAGCAGATTACGGCGGCACTAGAGGGGGCAGGCGCACAAAATGAAACGGAAGGGCGCAGCGACAAAGTTGACGGAACTGGTACTGGAGAAGGAAAGGAGGGGGAAGCAGACAAGGGGGATAGGAAAGAGGGGAGCGGAAGCAGAAAAGAGAAGAAGGATGCGAAAGAGGGGAGTCCGACGCTGAAGGACGTTTTAGGGCAAGTGTTGGGATACGGGCCAACACTTTGTGAGCACTGCATTTTGGACGCAGGTCTAATACCCAGTTCGCGGGTTCTCGAACGAGGGGGAAAGTTGTCGGAGGCGCAAGTTGGGGAGCTTTTGGCCGCGGTAGCGAGGTTCGAAGATTGGTTGGAGCCGACGCGCGAGAAACCGTCGGAGGGTTTCATCGTCTTCCAGCGGCCGAAGGCGCCGTCTGCAGTCGTTGTGAATGCAGAGAAGAGAGGAAAGAAGGGAAAGAAAGGAAAGGGTTCGGCGGCTGTTGCAGAGGACGTAGCGCCGGAACCGGAACAGAAGGAGCCTCTTAAAGCGACTACTGACACTGCGGCACCATCGGAGGCCTCGGCAGAAGGCAAGCCCGCGGACGGTGTCAAGGCGGACGGCCCCGTAAAGCTGTACGACGAGTTCACGCCGCTCCTTTTGAAGCAGCACGTGGGGCGGGAGTGGGTACGGTTCGAGACGTTCGATGCGGCGATGGACGAGTTCTTCAGCAAAGTCGAGGGGCAGAAGCTGGAGCAGCAGCAGAAGCAGCAGGAAGTGGCGGCGCTCTCGCGGCTCGACAAGATCAAGGCCGACCAGGTGAACTCTGAATCCTTTGCTTTTGGACCGTCAGACGATCCTTTCATCCTTAAGAAGTTCGGCTCTGTTTGACAAGATTCGCCGTCAGCGGCGGTTTTATCGAACAAGCTCGAGGTCGAGGTCGACTGAGGTAGATTTTGGCCGAGCCGTTACCAAAAGCCATCGATTGATGTCTTGAAGGGGTTCGATGGGTGCGCTTGTTTGTAGGCAAGATGCAAATGAGATAAGGGCTTCTTGATGTTCTTTGGCGAAAGTGAACGGTGACCAATTCATTCAAAACTTGAGCTCCTTGTAGTCGGTGAAAGCTCTCGATTACAGTCAAGAGGCTATTCAGGACGTCCCGCCCTGTGAAGTTTGTTGCCAGAGCGTTTGCTAGGCGAAGCTGGTCTCCCTGAGAGCAGATTGCTGAGGAGTCTTTTTAACAGCCTGCAGCCAATCAGAGTCCAAGCTGTCCAAGTGAGGCGAGTAAAGTGCGAGCAAGCAAAAAATGTTCAAGTACAGGAGCCTTTCGAGCCCTATATGCAAGGCTCATACGCTGTAACCGTGTCTCTTTGCAGACGAACTGCGCCAAAGCTCTTGAAGAGATTGCCGAACAGAGACGTGTCACCTAAACAGCAGCAAAGATACTGGACAAGCAGAGATGTATTACCTAACACAGCAGCAGAGATTCTGGAATAGAAGATACTAAGACGTTTTGCTTTCCGTGCAGTCGAACCGGGTCCAAGCTCTCCAGGCGACTGTCGAGCAGAGCGTGCGCAAGGCGGAGCTGATCGAGTACAACCTGGATGAGGTCGATTCCGCCATCGGCGCCGTCCGTTCCGCCCTGGCCAACGGAATGGACTGGGCGGACTTGAAGCAGATGGTCAAGGAGGAGCGCAAGGCGGGCAACCCGGTCGCGGGGCTTATTCACAGCATGCAGCTCGAAAAGAACCAGATCACTCTGCTGCTGAGCAACAACCTGGACGATATGGTTGAGGAAGAGAAGACGCGGCCAGTAGACAAGGTGGGCTCACTCGATTGCACCGAGACTAGTCTTCTTCTTGACCTTCTGTTGCACAGGGTCTTAGTAGTCGGATTTATGCGCTTATGACGAAGACGGTAAGGATTGTGATCATAACGGTGCTCTGGGGTTTGTTGCTAAACTTCCGTTTGCTTCGAGTGTGCTTCATCTGCCAAACCCAGATCGTGATGCGCGTGCTTGTGGACAGGACGGTAAGGAGCGTGTTCAGGGCAGTGTATGCACGGTTACTGCTCGGCTTTCAGGTTGCCGGTGTTTTGTGTTGGGTTTGAGCAATGTCGCTGCTTGGCATAGGTAAGCCTGTGTTCTAGGTTGGTTGTGCAAGATTTACGGCTTGGCATGAGGTCGCCCATCTTTTGGGTCGGGCGTGCAAAGTGAACCTCAACCCTCCAGGTCCTTGAAGTGGTCCACCGGGCTCGAGAAAACGGCCTATGTCAGGTTTCTCGTGCTTCTCTCTTTGGGTGCAACGCGCAGTCTGTTCTGCTTGATGCTCACAAGAGGAACCGTTCTTGGACCGCAGGTAGAAGTCGATATCTCTCTGTCGGCTTTCGCCAATGCGCGGTTGCACTTTGACACCAAGAAGAAGCACGCCATCAAGCAACAGAAGACCGTCGACGCAACCGAGAGGGTAAGCGGAGCAAAGCGCAGCCTGTGTCGTTGTTGACCTTCGTGCCACCTGCTGTCTTTTCTCCCACCTCTTCATTCTGGTCTTTACTTTCTGCTTTTTAGCTGAAACGCGGATCGGTATCAGTCTTCCTGCTTCGACTATCGGAACGAACCGTACCCATGCCTTCTTGGTAAACTCATTGCTTGTCCGACCATCCCATCATGTGCCGACCTCAAATGAACTAGCATTTGATGTGAGGGACAGTGGCGTATAGTTTGGAAACGGCGGTCCGAATATGTATACTTTGCGTACCAAGGAGGTGTCCGGCTTTCTGTTTTCCTTTTTGGTGCACTATGGCGTCCTGCCTCTCTCTGCAAGTCTGCTGAGTCGTGAGTCAATCCCTGGCATGCGGGCTTTTGGGTCTGCGACACTGTGAGATCGCTTCGATATGTCGGTTTCGGAAACCCGTCGCTGAAAAGCATCACGAATTCATCAGAGCAATAGAGCAATCCTTCTTAATTTGGTCCAAGAGTCGCAATCGGCTGCAGTCGTCCGTCACGTTTTCCGTCGTGCTTCTCACGCTCAACCGTCGAGTGTCAGCCTACCAAATGCCTGTCGCGCACCTTCATTCAGTTTAAGCGCAAATTCAGTTTACTGTGGCCCTTATGTTCATCATCCGTGACTTCACTTCATGCTTGCTCTTCTCTCCCGTCAGGCGCTCAAGGCCGCCGAGAAGAAGACCGCGGAGCAGCTGGCCCAGGTCCGCAGCATGGCCAAGCTGACGTCACTTCGCAAGGTGCACTGGTTTGAGAAGTTCCACTGGTTCGTCAGCAGCGAGAACTACCTGGTCCTGGCGGGGCGCGACGCGCAGCAGAACGAGCAGCTCGTGAAGAAGCACCTGGGGAAGGGCGACGTGTACGTACACGCGGACCTGCACGGGGCTGCCACGTGTATCGTCAAGAACGCGAACCCGGAGGCGCCGGTGCCACCGCTGACGTTGATCCAGGTGGGGCACTTTGCTAGTATCATTTGGAGGCTGTGTGGATGAATTGGTGATTGTGGGGACTGTTGGAAGCACACAGGACTAGATGTGAAGTGCGCTCGTGGGAATGATGGTGTGTTGCAAAGAGTTACGGAGCGCCATGCTCCTTGCCAAGGACGTGGGAGTGAATATATGAGACTTTATGCTTCATGTGGGACGGCAGGTGGCTCGACGAAAGTTCCGAGTCTTATTCACTTGAGCAGGGACCGGTTGTACGTCAGGTTGGGGGTCCTTCTCCTCTACTTTCTTGAAACCTCGAGGGACAGTACGCTCGCTTCTGGATCATGCAGCACGGACCTCTATTCCAGCCGCTTATGAAAAGTAACCTCGTAAGGCAACGTTTTCAGAGTAAGTAACGTGGTGAAGCAAAGATGTTGCGTCGTAAAGCAACCTTATCGCGTCGAGATGCCCGATCGACAACCTGCACAAGCGCCAGATCTCCATCTCGATTGTCCACGCCAACCCTGCTGACTGGTGTGAATACCCCCTGCAGGCGGGGATCATGTCCGTCTGCCGCAGCTCCGCGTGGGACGCGAAGATCGTGACCAGCGCGTGGTGGGTGCATTCACACCAGGTGTCTAAAACGGCGCCCACCGGGGAGTACCTGACGGTCGGGAGCTTCATGGTGCGCGGGAAGAAGAACTTCCTGCCGCCCAGCCCGCTCGTAATGGGCTTCGGGTTCCTGTTCCGGCTGGAGGAGAGCTGCCTGGCGGCGCATTTAGGTGAGTAATTGAGGGAAATAACATGGTTCTCGTCATGTCGATGTTTTTCGAGAGTCAAGCGCTTGAGACTGTCCGCTGGAAACCTTTGAGGTCCGATTTTGCGTTTCTGAGATTCTCGCTATGGTTCAAGAAACTTGTGGGCGTCCACTTTGCAGTCATTTGTTGTCCACCAACCTCCTCAAACACCCATGAGGTTCTAGCAGATTGCGTAACGTTTCAGCTCAGCTGAGCTTTTTCTGCTGAGCGAGTGGACTGGTTGTCTGCGGTCATTCTCATAGGATGTTCCAGATTATCATTCGGTTTGTTTGTCCTAGTATTTGGCTCCTATCGATCTTGCTGTAAGTGAGTTGTCCTGGCTGGCAGAGACTTACCGCACAGCTGATCTTACACCATGTGAGCTTCGGAGTTCTATCAGCTTTTGACATTTTTGGCATACGTGAACAGCACTCGGCATGAATGGGCTCTGCCGTTGCCTGTCGAGCAAAACGGCCTGCATTGTCTCTGAGCAGTACGTCTCAGATGATGAATTCCCTGCTTCGGGTTTGCTTTTCTAGTAGATTGATTTGCCCTTTTAACCTGACGACTGTTTAGTACCCGCTTGATAATAAAGGCTGAGACTATGCTGCAACCACAACCGAAACGGTTGATGAAGAATGATTCCATTTACAATTCCGTCACACTGGGTGTAATTCCTGAGGTGCCCTGGCCATAACGGTATTCGTTCCAGTTGAGGCTTAATTTCTTGCATCCTCCAGACTTTTATTGTTGGCGATGACGAGAGTTGGGCTGCCAATGTGGCAACTGTCTTGCGTTGTGAACCCGCAGAGACGCCAGACCAAGTAGTGCAAGAATTGCAATCTTCATTTTCGGCACATGAGCTCGTAGAAATGCATGTGTGATAAAACTGGGTGTCCATGAAAGATATGTTGTAATCCCCGTAGCAGCACGTGGTTCTCAATCTTATACCCTCCACAGCTCTCAGTCAAAACCTTTCACAGGGTGCTGCGGCATTCTATGGCAATTTTGATAGCAGACCTGTGGCAATCGTGCCAAGATCCCTTTCTTACGTCATCTTGAAGAAGTGCTGTTTGACTTAGTCGACTTACGGCCATGACGAGATATATATGGGTTGCTCTTCTGCAGCTCACAAACCTTTTGATCGTGAAGCTGTCGCCTTTGGAGTGGGTTTGACTTTATGGAGCTTTTCTTTTGTTCTTTTGTGTCAAGTAGTAGGTACCTCAAGAGTGTACGGCTTTAATACTGCGACACCGCTCCTATTGCCATGCGTCCCTTGATAAGTTTTCCCAACCAGAACGGTGATGGTATTGTAATGCTAGTAGCAAGCGTGTTGCCCACTTCTTGCTGGTTAGGAAGTTATTGACGTCACTCGAGCGTTTGAGACGCTCGAAGAGAAGTGGGGTGAACCACAACGATTCTGAGGCCAGCTTTTGTTTCTATGATTGATGTGCCTGCACCTGAAAGGGTTTGTTCCGAGCCTGTGAATCGTACAAGGATTGATACATAGCCAGTCAAGACTGCCCATCTTGTGTGCTGAATAGACACTTTGGCCTCAGGCGAGCAACTCCAACAATTCAACATGCGGCCGTCCTAAAAGCTATGGAAATCGAATTTGTGCATGCCCGCGAGAAATTTCGTGAGCTTGTTTCTGAAGGACCAGAGTACATTTGCTGCTCTTGTAATCAGTTGTGGTTTAAGAGGAGCGTGGTACGCGTGACGCCCTTGTTTTTCGATGGTGACAGCGTTTCGTTTGGCTAGGATAATAGGAGCGGGCTGGGCTACTCGTTTGCCCACTGCTAGAACGCTTACCTCGGATGGCGCAGCTCAGCCCACCGGTTCGAGCAAGACGTTAGGCTGCTTCATAAGAATAGGGTGTCGTCGTTCTAGTTGTCGTTTGCAAGTCTGCAGCATTTAGATTCCATAAATAGCCTCTGTGACATGGTTGTTCGTGGCACCTCTTTGGAAGTTACAGTTCTTTGTCAGCTTTCTCATCGTCAAAGCCTACATCAGGGCGGTTCCGCTATGACGGTCCGCTTCGAATCAAGATTTGTTTCACACTTGTTAGGCGCTGCTGCTGTGGTGCCAGTGCTGGAAGGTTTTGCTGGTGGCCTTTAAGTTTCTCCGCACAACAGTACTTCCTTGCTCATAAAGCACGGTTTTCAAGTCAATAAACCCACGGGTCCGCAAGATTCATCAAACATGTGTCCGCTTAATAGAGGCGCAGAAGTGTCATTATGTGGTTTTCTTTCTCCACTGTGCCAGCTTACGCTAAATGCGTTCATTGCCCTTGTGCGCTTCCCAGCTTGTGTCTTGCTGAAGGATGCCGGAAGAGTGCAGACACGACAGTTCCTGCTTTTCTCCTCCACACCTTTGCTCTGCGTGCCCTTATTGAACTTCAAGATGGAGTCAGCATTGGAAGACGAACTGGAAATTGCATGTGAGCTCCATGCTGGGGAGGAGAGAAGAACCCGTTCCCTGGGCCTTGCGAAGCTCAGTTGTTCTTTACGGATACCTGAGGCCAGTCGCTATGCAAGTCTCTCAGGTAGTAAAAGAGTCGGTTCTCACATCCAGCAATTGTGCCTTCCACATTCTACAGATCAATGATGCACGCGCATTGGAATGGTGATTGGTCGCGTAATTCTAGACTGTATCAGAGACGAATACGACCTGTTTGTAAAGGACTGCGCTCTGTTGTTCCCAGAACCCAGGTCGGAGGCTCGATTAGTGAAAGCGGATCCTTGGCAGAACCGCAAAATGGCACACTGTCCTTAGACCGAAACGCTGTAGGCGCTCTGTGGAACCGCCAACAACGCAGTCGTGCTTGATGTGTTGGCCTTTCTAGTATGCCAGCGAGGAATTCTCTTTCTTTCTATCGCTGGTCAAGTTGCGGCCAAGAAGTATGGACATGGGCTGCTTGTCCCAAGCCTGCGCGCCGCTTCACGAGCTGAGCTGCCGCTACAATAAACATGAAACGTGCAGGCCGGATCTTGGTTGAGATATGCCGTATGCATATGGTCTTGACACAAAGTTTTCCACGGTTACAGCCGAAATGACCCCTTAGGAGTTACTGGAACGGCATGCGTTGCCATTCTTGTTGGCACGAACTCCAATAACCGGGCTCTGAACTGCTCCAGCTGCTTGTGCGGGAGCGGTGATGGCCACCCTTCTTCTTTCTTGCCATGTCCTAAGGTCGGCGGGGAAATAAAGGCAAATACATTCTTACCTGAGTGCTTTACTCGCTCAGAGCAGCATATTCTGAGCCCGCCCTCTACGAACGCAGCATAGCATTCGCTATTGTTTACGTTTTGCCTTTGGCGAGTGACATACGACGAAATTGTTACACGCTTGGTTTTCCTAGCTTTGTTTCCGGTGGGGGCAGCGGGCCCTCGTTTGCCTGCATGCTCCACTTCGCTTCGTGCACTTCGTTGTATTGCCCTTAACCACTCTCACCGGCTCTCTTTGAACCGAATAGATATACAATTCAGTGTTAAAGTTCTCGTTGGCTAACGATTGTTGGTCGACCCGATGCCTGTGTTGTAAAATTGCCAAACGTACAGAAGGTGATTGGTTTGGAACACACCGCGTGTTGCGAAAGCTGGAGCATTGCTGGTTATAGCTGACTACAGGACAGATGTAGAGCGCCTGGATGGTCATGACTATTCGAGCATGCTTGCGTTGCTTTCTCTGCACTTCACGTCAGCTATTGCTCGGGGCACCACTCCCTTGGAACTTGCGTTCATGCTCCGGCACTGTGAATCGACGGATCAAGATCTTCTCCAAACTCCAGGAATCTCCAATCTTTTGGGAGCGGATTCCTTTTAAGATGGAAGCTCAAGGCGGCCTCCTGCCAAATGGTCAATGGATTAATCCCTTTTGCTTTCCTGGCCTGCAGACTTTGCTTGATACTTTTGTCGCACTTGCTTTGCTTGTTACAAGCTCATGTGTCTTGGTTGGCGAGGACGATAAGGGGCGGTATGAGCATGACGTCTAAGCAGCGCGATCTAAAGGTGGCTTAAGGAAAGTCTTATTTGCTCAATGCTAGTTGTAAGTTGGGGCTTTTTGACAAATGGGAAGGCATAGCATATCCACGGAACGCTTTCGTCCCGAAATGATTTACCCTATGATTTTGGTTTTCTACGCTTCTGCGGTAGAATCTGGACGTCGATGCAGCCTCGGGCTGGAGACGAGTTCGGCACGTCAATGCATTCACTGCCGGCTGAGAAGAAGTTGCTGCGAAGTGAGCGAGAGGCGAGCTCATCTTATTTTTTAGTTCGTCCAGAAGCCGGCGTACGTCGCGAATGAGCAGCTGCGGGGCCTGTATTATCAACGCTTGCAACTCACCTATTGACTATTTTCATGCCCGAAAGGAAAGGTTCGGAATAGGTGGTTTGGAATCGGTGTTTCCTCCCATTTCAATAGAATCTGAATTTACCCGAGGCGTAGGTTTGAAGTAGTGGGGACAAGGTGGTCAATATACCCTCGAGTCAAGTGGCTCGCCGAAGGACTGGCTCTCAGCCGATGTTGCTTCATATGCGGACTTTCCTTCATATGTGCTTAGCACAATCCGGTCGTTTGAAGCAAGCGAGTCTCTCAAGCGGAAAGGACGACGATTGAAGCTGGTCTGGGCACTAGCTCAGCACCTCGATGACCGGACTCTGAAGCCGCAAACGAAATTGACCGAGGCCTGATACTGAAGGATTGCGTAAAGCTGATCATTCGGTTTGGGTCATTACTTATAGAGTAGAGGCTCTGAAACAAGCGGGACTGCCCCGCTTTTATCCACAGCGTCTCTCGCTGGGTGATGAAAAAGGGTTTGATTGTCGTCTCATTTGGCGGTTCTGCTCGAGTCCCTGCACGGTGTGTTTCTTCTTTTCCGTCAATGGATTCGAGGTGTTGTCGGATCAGACTTGCTTCAACCTTCGACTGCGTGCTTTAAGGAAGCTTGGTCGGTCTCTGTGCTGAGTTTTTGGTTGTTTGTCGTTGGTTGCCT